AGCGTAGAGTTTTATACTTTAGGCTCTTAGTGGTTTTAGGATTAAGGGGAAGCGAGGATAAATTCACCAGCTCGTTCTATTTGTCATATTGACCAGTGGGTGTCGTCGCCTTGGGAACCCCTCCATCTAGGCGCGCTGGCTTTAGCCTAGGTTGTCTTATAAATCCATAACTAAGCAATTTATTGTCTTGTTTTTTTGTAATTAAGTCAGAGATCCTACGTGATTTATTGTCGGTCATGCTATGGAGTCTGTGAAAATCCTCTGAAATCAGAATCCTGGCCAGATCACGCCTGAGCTTTGGACTTAATATCTATAAACTTAAATAGCTTATTCCTTTCCATATCATGGGTTTCATATAACTTATGCAAGGAGGCCTGGTGAAGAATCTCATTAACCTTTTTTGAATGGAAATGTGTCTTGAGATCACAAAATCCAGGAGTGATACCATAACGTTTACAGCAGTTTAAAAAGGTCAAATGATATGATTGACTTACACTTGTCTTCTTTGTCTGGCTGTAATTGGTGCACTGTTTGGCAACCTTACTTCTATACTTTAATCGAAGACATAAAGACCAGGATGGTGTGGCCTTTTATATGGTCGCGGTCTACTTGTTTTCGCAACTTGGTCATATTGGCAGGAACACCTAGAGGAACGCATCTTTTCAAGGGTCCATACTATGTATACTAATCTCCAGAGTCGGACAGTAGACGTGGTACATTCCCAGACGCTTTGCCGGCATCGTAGTCGACATCGTCAGTGAGTCTTGCGATTTTTAGCACCAGGTTAGAACTCGTCAAATGGACAATGTAAAGTCGATTCCTTGACCAAAAAAGACATCTCTTGTGTAATTTAAACATGTCAGAAGTTGTTATAGGGCGAAGGTGAGATAAGAGGGTAGGAAATGGATAGATAGACCAGGACAGGATGATGAGTGATAGCACAACCGTTTTGACAGAAAGTTGGTCAAGGAATTGAATTCATTTGTCCTTTTGACGAATTGCAGCTTTGTGCTGAGAATGGCAAGACTCATTGACGATACCGACTACGATTTCGGCGAAGCGTCTGGGGATGTGCCGAGTCCACGACCCGACTTTGGAAATTATCATGCATACTATGGAGTCCGGACAAGGTGCGCTCCTCTAGATCCTCCTGCCAATATGACCGAGTTGCGAAAACTAGGTTAAACAACTTCTATACAACGAAGGGGAGCCGCGACCATACAAAAGACCACGCCATCCTGGTCTTTATACCTTAATTTTTTTACTTTGAACAAGCTCTATCTATTCCATCACTTTAAGAACCGACCTCTCTTAAGATCTGGTTGTAGTATTAAATTCTTCTAGACACTCTTTAATTTTTTATCATGATAAACGTGAGGGAGATTTGGGTTGAAAACTTACACTCATATCCTTATTTTAATTTTGCTCAAATCTTACTAATTGTGCTTTGAGCGTAAGCATATAAATTTACATGCATTAAACACATCTCGTACTGAAAACATGTCCTGTACTTGAGTCTAAATGATATTTAACGTATTTATTTACTCTTGATGAAGCAAATCTTGGTTTTACGCTCTTTATTGCCGCTCGTTTTCCTCTTCCAATTATTCCAATTATATTGTAATTTAAT